TGTAGTGTCGATTCAAAATGCATTAAAAATAAAATCCCCAAATAAATTTAATCACCAGATGAATTAAAATTACAAATTAAAATCAGAAATACACTGAAAGACATCATTCAAAATCCGTTACAAATCAAAAGCAGTTTGAAAGTGGTGAGTTTTCAGCAGCGTCTTAAAACGGTAAGCTCGTGGCATTTCTCACGTGAACTGGTACATGTAACTTGTTCTACAGAGAAGACAGGCAGCGTATTGGAAGGCCTGGTCACCTAAGGAGGTTCAGGTAGGAAATACAGGTAGGAGACTGTAAGGCACGAATATTCTATGCTGAACAGTTGGTAGAATAAAAGCAAAAATAACATTCAGCTTCCCATATCAAACAGGAAGGCACTTACACATGTGTACATACATGTACAATAAGCCTGGTTTGCATGCATTAGTAATAGTATGCATACTTGTGCAAATTGCTCGAACAGGTGAATGAGACTTCTGCACAAAACCAGTGCTGGTCCCAGCCTAGTTAAAAAAAAAAAAAAAAAAAAAAAAAAGCACCAAGTGTGTATACATGAATACTTACATAGGCCTACTGCTTGCACTACAAAAGGCCATCTCACAAGGATGAGATGTGACTCATGAAATGTTTCAGTTCACGAAAGTGATCATGACCCCCATGTACGCGTGTTGTACACATCCACACATATATGCGCGTGATTTGTAACATGGCGGGCAGGCAGTGTGGTGGTGCACCGTGAAACTGGCCAAATTCCATCGAGTTGCAGAACTCTCAAAAAATGATCGTTAAACTCGCACCCATAAGCCCCAGTAGTTCGTCTTTGACACAGTGAAAAGTCAGTGCTTTATAAGGATGTTCGTGAAAATACTGATTTGAGATTTCATGTCTTCAACTGGCTGGGCCTGAGGCACTAGTACAACCAACCTAAGACAAAATAAAAAGACATGTAGCTTGGAAAACCCATCTCTACATGTTGGCTCATGACATGGGAGATTCACCAGTAGAGCTGGGACACGTTGTATGATTTAAATTCTATACGTAGGTGCTAGGATTTCACTTAAAGGGCAGATATTGTCATATTTCTACGAACATATCAAGTAAACTCTTATCAAACACATACAGCAAAGGATCCACTCAAGATGAGAATGTGATCAAGTTGGACCAGATTAAAAGAGGTATTTTCGGTGTAACTTGGAACTTGCACAACTGTGCGTTTGTTGCTCGAGCCAATTAAGAGCTCTGTGTACAAAACAAAGCCAGCAGTTGGTTCTTGTTAAATGCCAGACCAAAATGTCATAGGGCCCATATTTTCTTTAGTGCAGTCTTTGAAATTTTTTGAACGTCCAATCAGCTACAATCAGCATGATCTGTTTGTATGGCCGGCCGCGCCGCCCGCCCGACAACACAAGGTCATGATCTGTGCAATGCATGTTCATAACTTTGCCAAAGGGCGCCCGCGAAATTCATACATATTCAACGCGCAAAACCAGTCCGCCATTTTGGAATCCCATGGAGGAACGTTTATGAATATGAGACAATGTTTGCGGGAGCTGAAGACTGATTGTCATTTCTTGGCCAGATGGATGAAGATTTTTAGATAAAGGAATGTTTTTTTGGAAAAGGTACGAGTTCCTCTACGAGCAGGTATCCTAACTTTGGAAATCTCTGTCCTGGGTGAGAATGTGATCTCGCTCAAAGTCGATAGCAAATTCGCTACATTCAGCATGATCAGTTTCAGGCGTCCAGGGGACGTTTGCCGTTCTGGCCGTACTACAGAGCTTGTGATAGTACGGCCAGAGGCATTCGGGCTAGGGATTGCCACACCTGGTGTTTGTACAGAAGCTTAACGAAACATATAGAACGAGACAATCTCTTTAATTTAACCCTAACTCCCTAGCATGATTTACTAGGAACCATACCCATCCTGGCAAATTCTAACACCATGGGAAACTACACTCACATATTTCTGACTTTGTTTCTGGAGGTGTGCCAATTACCCAATGTAAAAGACTGTCAGTATATCACGGTAATAGCGTCTGAAACTGTGGGTCTCTTCCTTTTGCCGTACACATGTAGCAAATTTTTCACACATAATTTTCCATAATTTTCCATGCTGATGCTGTCCTGTTCAAATTTCATCTTTGGAAGGCAGAACGAGAGAGAGATCTCTTCCTTAACTGGAGGCAACTGTTACAGTGAAATTAGGCGAAATTTGCACAGTTAAAAAAGCAGACGAACAGTGACATTCAATGTAAACAACAACAGCAGTTACAGCAGAAATATTGCTTCACTGTCCCCTATCCCAGGCACATCTCCTAAAAACATACATTGATTTACGTAGTACCAGCATAGTACAAATATAATACAATGGGGTGGAAACGACATTTTCAACAGTGGGGAAAAAAAAGTAATGTACCCACCCACTGGGGTACATCACTCATAATGCACCACACGCAATTGGCGTACATTGCTGTACATGCGTGTTTGTGGCATGAAATGTGATCCATAATGAACCAGTAAAAATTCACAATCTATTACCATGGTATAACATGTAAAACAAACGCAGTCTAGCCCCCTAAATGTGGCCAATTTACTGGACTACCTCCGTAAATAGTCCGAGTAACTTGGACCCAACTTATCGCCTTTTTTAACATTTGGACATGGTCTGGCGATAGTGGGGTCCAAGCTAATACCGCGACCTGGACAACATCATCCTGTCACTGTCCCAAAAACCAACATTTTCCAACAAAAAACATCAGATTTCACCTTCAAAACGGCCTCCAAATGACTAGATATGCCACCTGAGGTACAAGTAGACATCGATAATTAAGATGGTTGTACTGAAGGTTTACTTACGATCCGGAATAAAGTGAAATTTTCCGTTCATTTCGGAGAGCTCCCCTCGCGATCTTGAACACGTTAAATTTCCGATCGTGTTTAATGTTTGAACGACGCGATTTCTTCTACATGCCCAGCGTACATTCGATGGTCCCCGTATCCCGAGTGTGATTCCGTTACCGAGCGCGCGCGATGCATCGATTATGATAATGAGTCACGTTTGTAAACACATACATGTGCATTTCGAACTGTAAAAGGGAATCGGGAACCAGCTTGAACTGGTACCCGCCATAAAAGCTGCGCTAGTTCCCGACTCCCCATTATCGTTTGAAATGCACATGTGTTTACAAACGTCATCCAGTCTACTCATTATCATAATCGATGCATCGTGCGCGCTCGGTAACGGAATCGCACTCGGGATACGGGGACCATCGAATGTACACTGGGTATGTAGAAGAAATCGCGTCGTTCAAACATTAAACACGATCGGAAATTTAACGTGTTCAAGATCGCGAGGGGAGCTCTCCGAAATGAACGGAAAATTTCACTTTTTTCCGGATCGTAAGTAAACTTCAGTACAACCATCTTAATTATCGATGTCTACTTGTACCTCAGGTGGCATATCTAGTCATTTGGAGGCCGTTTTGAAGGTGAAATCTGATGTTTTTTGTTGGAAAATGTTGGTTTTTGGGACAGTGACAGGATGATGTTGTCCAGGTCGCGGTATTAGCTTGGACCCCACAATCGCCAGACCATGTCCAAATGTTAAAAAAGGCGATAAGTTGGGTCCAAGTTACTCGGACTACTCCGTAAATAAAGGCCACACTTGGACCATGTACCCCAACATGTAGAACTTTGTTAAGTTTTCATTTTCACATTTTTTTTAACGCTTTAGAAGCACACTCACCCTCTTTAAAGTGATAGAAAATTAGTCCCCCCTTTTTCAGACATCTATTTTTCATGTAATTTCGTGTTGGAATTTTGATACGCTAATGTGTGCAAACGAACCTTGAAATTACACGAAATATAGACGTCTGAAAAATGGGGCACCACATGTAATTTTCTATCGCTTTAGGGTGAGTGTGTGCTTCTAAAGCGTAAAAACTACAAAACAAAGTCTTAATTTAAATGTGAAAATGAAATTGAAAACTTGACAAAGTTCTATATGTAATTATTTATTATTATTATTATTATTATTAATTCGGCCAAATTACAAGGTACAACAAGCAATCCACAAAAGTAAACAAAACTAACAAAAACAATCCAATCCAAGCTGGCCAGGATTGACAAAAGTATAATTCGGGTACATGGTCCAAGTGCGGCCTTTATTTACGGAGGTAGTCCAGTAAATTGGCCACATTTATGAGGCTTGCCAGGTCTGGTCTTGCGCCCAATAATGATGGGTCTTATTAAGGGAATAAATGTGTGCTCCGGAGGTTTTTATCACTCCGTTTAAGACCACTAAGAGTCTGGGTGCTGATAATTACCCGAGCCGGAGGCGAGGGTAATTATCAGCACCCAGACTCTAAGTGGTCTTAAACAGAGTGATAAATACCGACGGAGCACATATTTATTCCCATTCATAAATACCTTTTCGGTAAAAAAAATCATATGATTCGTTCAAAACATCCCGATTTTGTTCAACAAATTCACTTTATGCTTTTTGAAACATCCCTCTTGCAAAATAAAGCTGAGTGTTCAGCTGGCGAGTAAGATGTAAACAACCCTTTTAGTTTTATGGAGATTGACGCGCGCGTATCATGTTCTGCGCGATGTCGCGCAGAACGCACCTGGTGCGTTGCGTCTTGAATTTAGAACTATACAATTCTGACTCCCTGGTAGTGTTGCGCATGCCTACGTGAGGATTGTGAACGTTCAACCAATGAAACGATAAGAGGCACTGGATTTTTAGGAGTCCACATTTTATTGTGACACTGGAAAAGTGTTTAAGATCAGCTAGCCATGTCTTTATCATCCGTTTAAGACTGGCCACGTGACGGGCTCTCCACCAATAGGAATGCGTAAACTGTCTTAGGTATTTATGAATATTTTTTTAAACACCAACAACTTGCAAGGCAAGACATGATATAGGCCTAGGCAGTACTGCCAGTAGTAGGCTGGGGCTACATAACATATTGATGTTGGGCCTGCAAATACGTACCCACTACCACGACCAAAATGTCGACAATTTCAGTTCCATGTCCGGCCCAGACCGCGACAACAAAGAAAATGTCTCCTATTGTGTCGCCTCATGTGGCATGTTCACCTCGCTCAGCTCAGCTGACGATGTTTTCTGTTCTTAACTTATTGTTCCCTTCCGCCGTCGTCGACCTTGCGCGCACGGTGTTTTGTCGACGTCCAATTTATAAACATTGCCAGCAATTTTAATCCGACCTTAAACCATTGGCTGGTAACTCTACCCGTACCCATGTATTGAGCGATTACGGGGCAACTTGTAGGGAACCAGTTAAAGAAGGTCACTGGCCGGGGGTGAGAGTTGTTGAGGGCGCTATACAGCTTTCACGGTGACCGACCGGCGGTGTACTTGCCTAGTACTAATTGATCGTTTTGCATTCTTAGTAACGAGTCAAGATTCTCTACCGTCAAACAAGATAAGGTCCTCAAAGTCTTTGCTCATTAATTACAACAATGAGGACTTTTGGCAGCTTGAGATCTTTGGGACAAGATATGAAACAAGACATCCTGTGCACAGCTGCTGGCGGTACCTTGTCCCCTAGGCCCATTAACCTCGTTTACAAAGATCAAAGTTTGTGAATTAAGTTCTTGCAGCATTTGTTACCCGAAACTTCCTTTTTACAACCCCGCGATCAGTTTTTCAAAATACTGCCGAATTAATAATAATGGGCAGGTTATCATCCTAGTCAGGAATGAGACTATCCACGACAAAACAAGAAGGGGTTCTCATGTGCATAAACAATAAAACATAGCGCCCTCTATTAATTGGAATAAAATTACTCGGCACGTTGCAAACCGCGCCCTCTCGGTCGCATAACGTTGGCTTTTATGTAATCACGGATCCGTGATTTAATGTTTGAAAAAGGTAAGACACAATGACGTCACGCTTTGTTTACATGTGCGCTTTTCTAATGGAGCCAGGAGCTCCCATAGGAAAGCGCGCGTGTAAACAAAACGTGACGTCAAATGTCTTAAGTCTGTTGCATATATAGAACTGTAGGGCAACATATTACTTCGGCACAAACTTTGACGTAAGTGTGCGTTCAACCTGTGAAAACAACACCATTGAATCGTGTGTGTTGTTTGCACGAGCAGTTCTCCAAAACTCTGCAAGTATGCAACCTATACCAGCGGCAAAGCAATTTGCGTTTCCCGAACATGCACATTTTAGACGGGCACTGCACTAGTATTCTGCAATAAAGCATGCAGATTTTCTTTAGCAAAAACAGATTCCCATCAAAAAAGGTGTGTCATGAGTATGCAGTTGTAGTCAGTGTTGTAGGTCTCGAGACCGGTCTCGGTCTCGGTCTTGGTCTCGAGACCACTTTTTGCTGGTCTCGGTCTCGGTCTCAGTCGCGGAAGCTGTGGTCTAGGTCTTGGTCTCGGCCTCGGTCCCCTTTGGTCTCTTGGCTGGTCTCGAGTCGAGACCAGCCAAAATGTCGACATTTGAGTCGCGCACATAAAGCAAAGTAAGTACCAATTTATGAAATAAGGGCCAACCATTTTCGGGGATTGTATAGTTTATTAGCCCACCCCTGTGGGCGTTAACTTAAGTATTTTTATTTTTTTTAATAAATGAGGTGCTCCAAATTAGTGACATTTTCGACCCCAATCTTCTCTTTAATTTGGGATAGTATTCTGGAGAAAGAGTACATTTTTTTACCTTATTTCCAGCAATGAATTCACACACTCTTACCAGATACCATTCACTGTTGCCATGAGAGTGTATGATAAGACTCCATTTTCTGGCTGCTCATTTAAAGTACCCCATTATTCCCCAAAAAGCAAAATCCTAGTCAGAAAAAATAAAAACCCATATCTGGCTACCATCTCTCAACTTTTGGGTCTCCATGTACAAGTCTATATAGTCCATGACGGAAATTCAAAAAAAAAAAATCAATGATTTCTTGCTCCAATTTGTTTGAAAACAGGGTAACAAGGAGGCCCATTGTAAACTTAAAGTTGCATTTAAATATCCGTTTGTAGTCATAGCTGACTGGTGGCTGTGGAGTTTAGGGTCCGAGTTCCTATAACAGATGAAACACCCACCTTTGACTTTTTTACTTTTGTCAAGTTTCAACATTGCAAAAGATTAGTAAAAACTGTCGTACTCCTTTATCAGATTTACACTTTATAGTAGTTTAATATATGTGGGGATTTGATAATGATGACTAGTTGCCCCTTTAATGATAGCGCAGCGTGCTCCTTTAATAGGGAGTTGCCGCCGCAAAGTGCTCTGCACGGTCTAATCAAAGATGTCCGTGCGCCGTTGGAAAATAGACCCACACTTTACTTCAAATAACTACGAGATCTTTTGTATTAATTGATTTTGTAATGATTCTATTATGTGGGGTAGTTAAGGAAATCCCAATTTATCTAGTTTCAAGGGGATATATTTCATACTAGGCTCTCTTTCATTAAGCTATGTTTATGTAAACAAAGCGCAGTGATACATAAGTTTGCCATCGTTCGGTCTCTTTCAGCGTCGCTTTGACAAAAGTCAGAAGGACATCTCTGGTGAGGGTCTCTTTTTATTCTCTTTTAGTCTTTAGAAATACTTTTTCAGATCTGTTGATATAATACGTGTGTCCGCAATAATTGTGTGAATCATGGGGAGATATTTTGGTGGACACATAGTTCCCAAAAAGGGCCAAAATCCAATGTTTGCTGACGCTATGCTCGGGCCAAAGAAACACAATGGCGACTTGTGTACTACATGTACTAATGTTTCCGTGTAGCTCGCACGTACGCTGTACGCAGTGTACAGCCGCGCAGTATGCGTGGCTTGGGACAGCTTTGCAAGTCGTAGTGCTGTATCAGGGGGTTTATAATTAAAACATAGTGTATGATATTCATATGGTGTCACATCAGAATCCCTGCCTTCTTATTTAATTGCTCACAAGTAGGATCTTCACATTTAATAGTTTTGACCATATTTTTCAGTCTATTGCTTGGACTATTCTGTAACAAAGTGGGGGCCTCGACTGAAAAAGTGTAACGTAGGCTATCCATATTATTTCACAGTTTGAGGCAAGCGAGGCGAGAGCCAGCCCTGGCCGGCTGTTTACATTGACTAGCACGAGTGTTGGGTGAGTGCACCTAGTCTGCACGCCTTTATAATTGTCCATTATTATTAGGGAATTAAATTCAAAGGTTATGTTGATTGTTTCTTTATACCGAAGTCTGTATAATTTAGTTAAACTTTTAATATGATTGTGTAATTGTTCACAGGGGTAATAAATTAGACGCAAAATAAAAACATCTGAACCACCGTCCTGGTCTGTGTGTGTGAGTGACGTTCCTTCGAATTATCTGCTCTCCCTTACCATCTCTGGGAACAACTTCCCCTCCCGTTGATCTTCAAACTTTCAACAACCTATTTCCAAAGCAATACTACATATACAATAATTTTCAATTAAAAAAAAAAGTGGCAACAATATATGGAGTTCATCAAATAATAGGTTTTGCCCTTCTTTAAATTAGGTTGTTTCCATTTTTTAAAATTGATTGTGACAATGACAAATTCTGTTGCCATGTTGTGATTTAAGGTGTGAAGCAAACATTAAGAGCACTCGCATGACACAAGCAGGTGCAAATGATTCCTTCCTACATCTAGAGTTATAGACATTAAACCGTAAAAGGGCCGGGCGGAATCCACCGGCCCCCAGGCCTCCCCTTCGACTTTTTCCGCGATAACCTTTAAACAAAAAAAATTCGCGACCCGAGCTGTCATGATTTTTAGCCGCAAGCCTTGCGCATCTTTTGACACCAAAAATATAAAAATCGGACCAGGGGTTGTCGCGCAGCAAAAAAAATTTCCGGCGCTACGCGCCGTGAAAAATGAATTTTTCCATATACGTCATGTACACAGACCAGAATTACCATTCGTACATATGAATAATTAATTAGCCATAATTCCAAAACCCTCTGACCTATAGTCATGATATTTCTTGGGTATGTTTATGAAGAGTTGCTCTATGCACTCGATCACTCGATGGCCAAGATCTTACGAGGGGCGGAATCCCCCGGCTGAGAGATGGTCAAAATAACCCGGTCCTTTTAGGGATAAAGGGATGTGTGAATGTGGTTTAAATTGCAGCAAAGTGGATGAAAGGAGATAAACATGCCAGCAATCTCTCTGTTGGCCAACTTACCTATTGTTCTTTGCCACTTATGTTAATCTATTGTTTATATTGATGCAATCAACTCAATGTGTGTCATTGTTTTTATTTGAAGAAATAAAAATAGTGAAGAAGATTAAAAGATTAAAACCAATTCAGTAACATTTGCTTGTGTGCAATCACCCACGGACAAAACATAGCTGAGAATGAAATCAGTTCCTTGTGCAGAAGAAAGTGGACCAAGTGGAAATTGACATGACATGCTTCAGTAAATTTGACAAAACTTTTGATCAGAACACCCAAATAACACGGCAAAAAATATATGATAGGGAAAAAGTGTGCTTTCTAAACTTATAAAAAAAATGACACCCATCAAATATAAAGAAAACGAAACCCATCAAAACTTGCATTGCAGTGTTTTGTGTTTCGGAACGTTGTTATTAGAAATTTGATCCCAACTGAATGGAAAAGAATATGCTTTATTAACTTAAATCATATTTTATATTCATGAAGTTGATGCATGTGTTACTTTTGATCACAACAGAAATACACAGGGTATTATAATGGAGGTGTCATGTGTTCTGGAACTTCAGATCAAAAATCCATACCTGATTTCAATGCCCTTTTATTTTTTCTATAACCCGTGTATAAAAGTTTGAGGTTGGCCCACTGATAATACTCCGAGTGCATTTCTTTTTAAGTAATTCACCGCTGAAAATGAAGATACAGCACACAATTGTATGTGTGTTTGTCAATTGTATTATTCCTCAATCATCCAACGTAAAGTACATGTATTTCGGTTGGCATAAAATCTCCACTCATACTTTTGCAAGGAAATATGTTTTCTAAGTTTTGAAGTTTTAAATGGAATATACAACTAAAGGGTCCTGTAAAATTATGGCACCTGGTGTGAAGACATTTTTAATAAAAGTGGTGTTTTTGTATAAATTTAAAAACCTAACTATTTTTCAACTACTGCTCCGAATTTACCTGTTTTTCAGTCCAAATTTTGTTTGCTATCGGTTACATGTTCATGAACAGGTGCAGGCTAGCTAGACTGGTTCCCTTACCTTACAATTTTCTGGCATCTATAAATGTGTCCATTTCATTTTTAGCGGAGTCAGGGAACCAGACTACTTGAACATTTGTGTTTTTCTTGGTTTTTCCAGCATTTTCGAACACAAAACCTCAAACATGTCAGTGTAAACAATATTATTTTGATTTATTATACTAACCCCTCAAATAGTTCATTTTTGAAAATTACAGCAAAAGCCAATGATGTACATTCCCTTTAAGTACAAACCGTGAGAACATATTGACATGCTTTTTTTTTGTAAATTTTATTGAAAATTGCACATTTTAAAATATTTAAAATTTTCAATGATTTCCAGACAACTGAGGGCACTGTTGCTGCGATTGAGGAAAGCACTGGTCAGTTTAGGGGTGTTGTGCTCAAATTGTGCCAGAATTCTGACAAACTTTTTTGGTTTTTGGTTGTTGTTTTTTTTATTTCAAACCATCTTTAATGAGGGCAACCCATCCAGCAGAAGCTGATCATTTGGGGCCCTCACATTACATAAAAATGCATCAAGACAAAGATATAAACAAAGACAAGACCTGGACACAATTTAAGTAATGGCATTTGGCCAGAGACCCACATGTTTCCTTTTCATCATGTGGTGCTTTGCCAGTCTCTGATCTGGCAACACTGTTGGCCATATCTCAAATGCACAATGTGAGGGGTGCCCAGTGGTTCCCTACTTTTTCTCCTGCCTTGCAGTGATGGGTGACATTCCAAAACTAAATTGAGCCTTTTCTCAAAAGGAGGCAGTAAAACATGTGATGAAGAATAACCAGGAGATACAACACACTCCTGCGGCTTGCAACTTAATATCGACTTATTTTCCAAGTCATCACAAACGGGTGCAAACACAACACTGGGCTCTAAAACTGGCCTTTCATCAACAACCTCATGGTGATCAAGGACTTCCACAATACCATCAACAGGTTTTATCACCAACTGGGACACCATTATCAGAAGACAAACTTTCCAGGTTTTTGACCTGTTTTGAGTCTTCAACAAACTTGAGTAAAATAGCAGCATTCTCATTGAGTGCTGTCTCTATTGACTTAGCTACACTTAGCTTAGAAATGGAATCAACAGATTCACAAGGCTGTTCATTAAGTGAGTGGACCTCATCATGACCATCCTCAAAAAAATATGAAAACACATTGACAATAGTTTGTGCTAAAAACTGATGTGACTTAACACTGGCAAATGTATACATTGAGGTTTCTGCCTGGAATGACACAAAAGTGCATTTTGCATCAAAAGACATTTTTTAATTACAATGCTCGGACACTTTTAATATTTTACAAGATACAGTGTCAAAAGAAATGGATTTGCTTGAATGTGTAACGTCAGTTGAACAGCAGTCCTATACGGTTACACTGGGTTTGCTACCCCCTTGCAAGTTACAGTAAATTGTAGGTAACAATGACGTCGTGCATGAACAGTGGTGTAAATACAGAACCCATAACACCATGTGAAATTGTGACTTCTACAAAACTTATACAGCAGTTTCCTTAATGCCCCATTGCAAGCAAAATTGATGCGACCCTGGTTCCCCAAAGAAGTTTGACCCTTAATACACCACTGTATATGCAGAGTGGAGGATTTGGTGAGGTATGTCCAAGGGAGCTAGGGCCCAAAATAAAAGTCTCTGCTTTTATGGTATGCGCATGCGTCGCCGTAGCCATGCGCGTTGGCAAAATTAAAAGGTATTTTTTCAATGAAAGATGATGTCTCAAAACCGCCAAACTCACTGGTTTGACTGGAATTCTGCTGCTGCACAATTTTAACGTGTTTATAGATGGGGTTACAATCGAGTATAAGCTTTATGTGGCCTCTCTGGGCTCCCATACATTTTGCACTAAATTTAGTCGGGCACCATTTGCAGTCATCAGCCGACATTTGAAGGGAAAAAAAGTGAACAAAAAAAAAAAAGCCACGTCGCCGCACCAATTTTGGGGCAAGCACCATACCAGAAACCGAAGACTTTATTTTTTGGCCTAGAGTAAAGACATGTAAGAAAATGAACACAAAGACAGTTGTTTTTAATAATAATAATAAACCAGACTTAAGGGCATCAAAGCGACTTACAAACCTCATTAAAACAAATACCAATACTTCAAATACCTTTTACAAAAATTACAGAGTAGCCAATAAAACAACAGCCATGGGTGTGAGTGACCAATGATAAAAAAAAAGAAGCCAGAAACAGCTGAAAAAAGGCGTAAAAACAGCTGAACGTTGGAAATCTCCGATACTTTTGTTCACAGCAAGTGAGGGAAAAAATCTGAAATTCAAAACAAACAAAAACTGAAATCAGCTTTTCAGGTAAGATTTCACACCCCTGAACAGCATATGTTCAAAGTCATACAAACCCACAGACAGGATATACATGTACAGTAATAAGAAAAGTAAACAATGCGTTCAAAAACTATTATATATTTAAATTTCATAAAACTTTTTAACCCCTTAAGGACGGGGTGTAATGAGATGAGGGCATGCCTCCATACATGGAGCAAGCACAGCCTTTGTGTGGTAGTATAGTGGGACTGCACAAAAGCAGCAGCTGTAGAACTACCCACTAGCTGTGTGCCGCGGCATACCACAGCTGGCAACTGCATTGCAGTGAGGATTAGCAGCTGCGGCCATAACCGCTCCCCGTCTTTGAGGGGTTAATATTGTAATGATCGGATAAAACGGATTAAATAAAAAGCACACTTGAGATGTTTCAGCTAGCTAAGAATAGTGTATTGAGTCTAAACAAGATGGCTGCCTACATGGACTACAAACTCACATGGTTATGTGCTCTAGACAATAGAGGGCGCTATGCATAATTATAAGTGGCACGGTTAAATCATAAATGCACACATTCATTACATCTCCCCTTTTTTTTAAGCCAAACACTTATCCACTTGATAAAGGAGATGAACTAAAGCTGGTACAGAGTACAACTTTAAAACAAGTTCTTAATACTCGACATTTTAACTAAACTTCCAACTGTCCACTTTTTGTTTGTTTTAGAACAGGTTTTTTTTTTTAACTGTTAACTGTTATGTGCTCCAGACAATAGAGGGCGCTATGCATAATCATAAGTGGCACGGTTAAATCATGAATGCACACATTCATTACAAATATAGACAATGCGCAGACAATTTTCTAGCCATAAACCCAAGCTGAAATAATTATTGAAACCGATCGAGGCATCCCTGCAATTTTTTCTTCAAATAATGCATGGTTCATGGAGACGTGTCTACGGATGTTCACATGACTTGGTTGTGGCAAAAACTTTACCGCTAGTCTCACAAACAAATGGTTTCTCACCAGTGTGAACCTTCTTGTGTGTGTGTAGACTACTCTGCTGACTGAAAGCTTTACCGCAGGTCACACAAACGAATGGTTTCTCACCAGTGTGAACCCTCTTGTGTGTGTGTAGGCTACCCTGCTGACTGAAAGCTTTACCGCAGGTCACACAAACGAATGGTTTCTCACCAGTGTGAACCTTCCTGTGTGTCTGTAGACCAGCATGCTGAGTAAAAGCTTTACCACAGGTCCCACAAACGAATGGTTTCTCACCAGTGTGAACCCTCTCATGTGCTTGTAGATTATTTTTGCAAGTAAAAGCTTTACCGCAGGTCACACAAACGAATGGTTTCTCACCAGTGTGAACCTTCCTGTGTGTCTGTAGACTAGCATGCTGAGTAAAAGCTTTACCACAGGTCCCACAAACGAATGGTTTCTCACCAGTGTGAACCCTCTCATGTGCTTGTAGATTATTTTTCCAAGTAAAAGCTTTACCGCAGGTCACACAAACGAATGGTTTCTCACCAGTGTGAACCTTCTTGTGTGTGTGTAGGCTACCCTGCTGACTGGAAGCTTTACCGCAGGTCACACAAACGAATGGTTTCTCAACAGTGTGAACCCTCTCATGTGTTTGTAGATCACTCTTCCAAGTAAAAGCTTTACCGCAGGCCACACAAACGAATGGTTTCTCACCAGTGTGAACCTTCTTGTGTGTCTGTAGACTAGCATTCTGAGTAAAAGCTTTACCGCAGGTCCCACAAACGAATGGTTTCTCACCAGTGTGAACCCTCTCATGTGCTTTTAGATTAGTTTTCCAAGTAAAAGCTTTACCGCAGGTCACACAAACGAATGGTTTCTCACCAGTGTGAACCTTCGTGTGTGTCTGTAGACTAGCATGCTGAGTAAAAGCTTTACCGCAGGTCACACAAACGAATGGTTTCTCACCAGTGTGAACCCTCTCATGTGCTTGTAGATTATTTTTCCAAGTAAAAGCTTTACCGCAGGTCACACAAACGAATCGTTTTTCACCAGTGTGAACCTTCTCATGTGTCTGTAGACTAGCACGCTGAGTAAAAGCTTTACCGCAGATTCCACAAACGAATGGTTTCTCACCAGTGTGAACCCAATCATGCGTTTGTAGATCATTCTTCCCAGTAAAAGCTTTACCGCAGGTCACACAAACGAATGGTTTCTCACCAGTGTGAACCTTCCTGTGTGTCAGTAGACTAGTATGCTGAGTAAAAGCTTTACCGCAGGTCACACAAACGAATGGTTTCTCACCAGTGTGAACCCTCTCATGTGCTTGAAGATCATTTTTCCCAGTAAAAGCTTTACCGCAGGTCACACAAACGAATGGTGTTTCACAAGTGTGAACCGTCTCATGTGCTTGTAGATTATTTTTCTGAGCAAAAGCTTTACCGCAGGTCACACAAACGAATGGTTTCTCACCAGTGTGAACCCCCTCATGTTGTTGAAGATCATTTTTCCCAGTAAAAGCTTTACCACAGATTGCACAAACAAAGGGTTTCTCATTAGTGTGTATCCGTTCGTGTTGGTGTACTTCACGTAGCCGGGTAAAGGCTTTGCCACAGATCCTGCAAACGAATGGTTTCTCATCCATGTGTACCTTGTGATGTGATCGCAGAGCACTTTGCCAAGTAAAGGCTTTACCGAAGGTCACACAAACGAAAGGTTTCTCACCAGTGTGACCCCTCTCGAGTTGGCGAAGACCACTTTGCAGCATAAATTCTTTACCACAGGTTGCACAAACAAAGGGTTTCACATTGGTGTGTATCTTTTCATGTCGATGTACTTCACTTCGCCGGGCAAATAAAACGCTTTACCACAGGTCTTACAAACGAATGGTTTCTCACCAGTGTCAGTCGTTTCATGTACTCGTAGATTATATTGCCAAGTAAAGGCTTTACCACAGGTTACACAAACGAATGGTTTCTCTGGCATCATTGGCATCATTTCATGTGCATGTAGTTTACCTCTCCGGGGGAAAGCCTTTACCACAGAATACATAGCGAATGGTTTCTCACTACTGTGAATCATGTCATGTTTTTTACCACCACATTCTGTTAAAAAGGCTTTGCCAAGGTCACACAAACACATAGTTTCTCGCCCGTGTGTGTCCTTTCATGGGCAAGTAGAACATAACTACGGAAGCGTATTTAGGACATGGCAAACAAAAATTGACGCACTCTATTTCGCCCGGGCGGATTACTATTTCGCCCTGGCCGATTACTATTTCGCCCGGGCGGATTACTATTTCGCCCGGGCGGATTACATTTTGAGCTGTTTTCGAGCTTAAAACAGCTCAATTAACCCAATTTGGAATTAATATGAATTTGCTGGTATTTTAGGAACATTTTGGGGCGCTTAATATTTTTTTTTTACTTTTGTTGGGTAATTGGGCTGATAATCTCACTTTTTCAAGTTTGGGGATTATTTGGACAATACAATTTTATATTCCGCAACTTTTCTTCAAAACGGTTAATATCATAAACTTGAAACTTGGATTGAACATCCTGACAAAGAGTAGTACATATTACCGTGACGTCATCAGGTATTACAATAATAGGTTTTACGTGATTTTTGTTCATTTATAAATCATGAACTGTATAAACGGGGAAAAATCATATTAAAGTTGGTATATACGTGCTTTTCCCAAAGTTCGATTTTCTTTTCCGAACGAAATTTAAAGGAATGTAATGCCCTATAACAAATAAATGTGGTTGTTTGCTTTTTCAGGCTTTATACACCGTTTAAAAAAGTGTTTTTTAAATGGCGCGCTCCAGTTCAGAAATTGTGCACACTGTTCAGAACAAATTAGGAGCATCTCACTCTTAATTCAAAAGTTCAATTATTATTTTAATTGTTTAATTGTCGTGGGCCGATGTGATGTCGTGCGAAGTCTCATTGGGAAGCTCATAACAAATTTAATGCTAGACAATTATCAATTCAATTTGAAAAGCTATCGTACACGATGCCACACCCCGAAAGTACCCACTTTAATGCTAATATGTAATAACTTAAGTTACCCGTAATGTTTATAGGTGTTTTCGATCTGTAATGAAGATCCCGCCGAGATGTAATAAGTAAAACATTTGCTACTATTTAGGGACGAAATATGATTTTTTGTTGGTTTTTTAATGATCATTTTGGAGAGCTCAATATTGTTAGAGAGGTTTGTTGCGTGATCGGGCTGTTAATATCAATTTTGGAGGCTGATTTGCACAATCTTTTCCTCCGCAACCAAAATGGTTCATATTATGAACTTGAAAATTGGACTGAATCTCAATCCTGAGTCATGTTACCGTATATATATTACCGTGCCGTTATTGTGACGTCATCAGGTATTGCCGAATGATGTTCTTTATAAACGTGACTTTCGTTCATTTATAAGTTACGAATTTAATTTTAAAAAATCATAATGCCTTGTTATCTGAAAGGCTATAGACATTAATAAATATATCACATTCTCAAGGCAAAGTCGCTTGACCTCTCTTTTCTGAGTAGGCACCGGGACATCAATTTTAACGTCAAATATAGACACAATCCTTGAAATAGGTCGAAGATGAAACCTGGTATGACAATATACCCTTTTCAGAAGAAGCGGACAAATTGGGTGACGTCATCAGTGCAAGCGATTTAATGTTAGAGGGTGAAAAATACTCTGAACCCAGTTGCAATATACCGCGTACATTTGTTATTTTGGGTGATGACGTCATAATCTAGCAGCACCTCAATAAATTGTTTAAAATGTGTCTTTTATTAAAAAAAAAAAAAAAGTCATTTGATAAAATGCAAATTGTCAATATCGATTTTTTTTTAGACAACCACAGAATTCTAAGCGACCCGACCGGAAATCGCCCGACCGGAAATTATGATAAACATTTTTGAAAACGATGTCTTAAACTTGCATTTTTAAAATAATAAACCTCTGAATTTGCGCATTGGTGAGCTCAATGATACAGGAAGTTATGTGTAATTTCTACATTAGTCACTGCAATATTTGATTTTTTTTCTCGTTCTTTTCAACATACATTTTTTTCCCGAATATGTATAGACAAATCCGGCGGCAGCCATTTTCTGCGGTGGCTCGCGCGTGTCACGCTCAGGAAGAGGCTTCATGTGGTTTTTTTTACATAAAATTAATTATTCGCATTTGATCCGCAGAAATGAGTGCCTGATTGCAATGCTCGTGTATAGCAAAATCAAACGTAAAATTTCGAGTTCCCTTCAAAAGTCGATCAGATAAGAGAGCATTAAAGTTGGTACTTCTGGGTTGTGGCACCTTGTAAAATATTTTTATTTTCAAATTGAATTGATAATTGTCTAGCATTACATTAGTTATGAACTTTCCAATGAGACATCGCACGACATCAAAAATCGGCCCACGACAAGTAAACAATTAATTACATTGAACTTTGGAATTAAGAGTGGGACGCTCCTAATTCGTTCTGGACAGTGTGCACAATTTCTGAAATGGAGTGCGCCATTTAAAAACACTTTTAAAATTGGTATAAATACCTGAAAAAGCAAACAAGCACATTTATTGGTTAAAGGGCATTATATTCCTATACAATCTCGTTCGGAAAAGAAAACCGAACTTTGGAAAAAGCACGTATATACCAACTTTAACATGATTTTTTCCTTTTAGTACATGATTTATAAATGAACGAAAATCACGTAAAAATCTATAATTGTAATACCTGATGACGTCACAATGACGTCACGGTAATATGTACCACTCTTTGTCGGGATGCTCAGTCCAGGATTCAAGTTTATGAACCGTTATAAAGAAAAGTTGCAGAGAATAATACTATTGTCTAATCATCCCCCCAACTTAAAAAAAAGTGAAATTAACAGACCGATTACCCAACAAAAGTATTTTAAAATACTAAGCGGTCCAAAATGTTCCTAAAATACTAGCAGATTCATATAAATTCCAAAATTGGGTTAATTTGAGCTGTATTGAGCTCAAAAACTGCTCAATATGTAATCCGCCCGGGCGAAATAGTAATCCGCCCGGGCGAAAATAGTAATCCGCCCGGGCGAAATACTTATCCGCCCGGGCAAAATAGTAATCCGTCCGGGCGAAATAGTAATCCGCCCGGGCGAAATAGTAATTCGCCCGGGCGAATTAGTAATCCGCCCGGGCGAAATAGTAATCCGCCTGGGCGAAATAGTAATCCGCCCGGGCGATACAGAGGGCCGGAAATTCTTTTTTGTTCATGTCCTAAATACACTTCCGTACATAACACCACGCACTGCCGTTCTTTTCAATTGTTTACGTCATGTTTGAGCTAAAGCGCGCCAACAATGCATTGTAGGGCGATACCATTGTCCAGTATGGGTGAATAACACTGCATACCATGTTTTCGTATGTACACGGGCACGTTCATGTTACGTTGCAGTCGACTGAGCGACCATTGTATAATGTAGGCGGCACGTATGTTTCAGCCGCTCATTTAGTATTTGCGCATGCGCACTTAACCTATTAAATCCCATAATGAGCAAACATGGCTGCCCGCTGTCGCAGTTCGTCCCTCTGAAGTATCGGTCAGCATCTTTCTCGAGTTAGTTTGTTAAATTTTTCTTTCCACACCGATAAGAATTTTAGACCCTTAAAGTAACTTTTGCGAACATTTTTGTAAAAAAAGAAATCATTAGGATGACATTTTTTTTGTCTGTCCATGTAGTGTACCAGCTGGTACGGGGATCACAAACTTCGAAACGGGCTACAGTTTACGGGGTAAAATTTCAGATTTGCCGAGTTACTGCAAACTTGTCTTTTCACACAAATGATAGGGATGCAACGAACAGTGTGATTATTAAATATCATGTAAGTCGGAAACCGTTGGATCGGGAAAGCTGAGGTTTTATTTGGTGTCTGTTTACGTTGAATTTTATACACATGTACATGTACACATGTACATAGCCTGTGCACTATCATTATCAAACTTTCAAATTAAGTATCACAATGCTCACACAGCCACACCCATTATTATCAATTGCCAATACTCTTTTATTAACGTCCCATGCTTGATGTATGTGTACTACTATTGTTTTCTCCATGATACAGTACTAATACTAGTAGTAGTACATCGTGTATTTAATAAGAAAACTGAGTTATACAGGGCATGAATACCAGTAATAAGAATAAATTAAAAAAAAAATAAAATAAAATAATTTAGTTTTGGGCTGGGGAGTAAGAAGTGTACTGTAAAGTCACCCAATGTTCAACGTGTTCAAGAAAAAGAACGAAACTAAATGTAGGCCTATAAGTAAGTTTGTTAGGATTATTCCCTAAATTCGTGTCCAATAGTCTACAACTATTTATTTCCTCAACAACGAAAGAAACACACTAAACACAATAAGCTTTTCCTTCAGTATATCTGTTCTATTTACAAACAATTTACACTTATTTACAACTGTGGTAGGCCGGTATTTCTTCACTTGTTACATTAATTCACATTCTAGATCATATTATGTCCTTCGTGTTTCCTTTTAAATGAATAGCAATTAATCTTTAAACAAACTTCCACTCTGCAGTTACTTTAAATTATGTTACTCTATACAAGGGTCTTTAAATGGGAGGAGCAGGCGTTT